TGCTGGTCAGGGAGAAGTGCATAGTGAAAAATTCCAGCTGTACTCCACCAGACACACACAGTTTTCTTTTCAATCATTCATCATACTGGTGTGAGAATTAAGAACCTAACCACAAAATTACCAATATACCAGCAAAATTCAATTTAAAAACGAACGTTTTCTACCGTCTTCACCGGTCATCCTCAGGTTCGATTCCAAGATTTCAAAAAAATCTCATTCGAAATATCAGAGACTCTTCTGAACATCTATCTGACATCTTAGAGTTGTCACATCTCGTATGTCACTCATCTTTTTTCGTATTTGAGGGAGATACTTTCCTGCAGTCTAGAGGGGTGCCTATGGGTAGCCCCATATCAGGAACATTATGTGAATTGGTGGTCAGGCGCCTCGAACAACAAGTCTTACCTGACTTTAACGATGACATTATATTATACGCTAGATACGTGGATGACGTATTCATTGTTTGGAAGAGAAAACCGGACTTGGCGGCATTCACTGAAACTTTCAATAGTAACGCTTATGGCCTCTCGTTGAGGGCTGAACAGCAGAGCTCCACCAACGTGCATTTTCTTGATATTGACATTAGCTTGCAACAGGGTCGAATAACAACTAAAGTATACCGTAAGAGCTCGTATGCGCCTCTTTTTATACATGCTCAATCACATGATCCGGTTGGTTACAAGATCTCCGCTTTTAAGACCCTAGTAAGAAGAGCTTTCACCCATTGTTCAAGCGCGGAAGATAGAAAAATGGAATTGGAATCTATTTCGAATGTGGCTAGACTACATGGTTACCCTACGCGCCTAATTAAAACACTTATAGCACGCCACCAACAACCTAGGAGTACGGCACTTCGGAATAACCAGCCCTTCGTTCCTATTACTTACAACAAGATCCTTCATAGCACCTACAAACAAATCGCTCGGTATGCTNGAAACTAATGGATATTTTTAAAAATCCATTAGTTTCTATGGTAATACATATTTGTAATTGTTAAAAAGTTGATCGATTCTTTCCTGCATTTATTGTTTATGTACTTCTTCCTCTTACGTGGAAGTAATTTCACTTACAGGCTAATGTATTTCATCGATTTTATTTCCTAAACGTATATTCCTTTCAAAAGAGATCGAAGAACAAACACGAAAATGGACGAGGAGCAAATCTTACCAGACGTCATATTCTCTCCTTTATTGTTGATGTTAAAAATTTCTGGTTGTGATCTTTCTTTTTCAAAAAGAAAAAAAAGTAAATTTATATCTGTCTACGTTTTTATGGTGAAAATATTATTTTTCGTTAAAGCCATTACTTATTTCGTAAGTTTCTACACCGGAGATGAACGTATTGCATTGGTTCTTTGTGATTTCTCTGCGTGTTTTAAACAACACGCTAGCAGCATGAGATTTATGCAATTTGTAATTAATATAGTTAACTGGCAGTTTCTACGAATGTGGAATTCTGAAGATTATAGAAAAAAATTCTCAACGTACGGGTTTGTTCTAAGAGACTTAATCAATGATTCGTTCTTCAGATACACTCAATTATCGAAACTTTTAAAAATTCAACAAACACTTATTACGATTTGGACAATTTTGATTTTGGGAAATAATGTGATCAACCCGTATATACACGGCGTACTTTACTTATCATCGAATGAAAACAAATGGAGTCTTACCGATAGTTTTTGTTTACTCACATTCAGCTTAAATACATTTTATGTTTGTTCGGTGTAAGCTTCTTGTATGTTTCTCCTTATATCGATGTGCGAACTGATAAAAATGCAACTTTCGTGTTTACACGAATATTGTACACAAAGAACAATCCTTCCTTTAAAACGTATATGGAAATGCGTACAAAATTTGAAAGACATTTTGGAATTCTGCAATTTCATTCAGAATCGACAAACCGTTTTTGTTTTAACTTTGGTAATCTGTATCGAAATATCTTTAGGAAAAAGTATTTTGAGAAATTCCAAATCGGACAAGAACGAAACAATCGTAATTGAAGTTTGTATCATGTTCATTTTTCTTTCAATTTTCATGTATTTAGTTTACTTATCGAGTGTCGATAAGGTGAGTAATAACTTTCCTTGATACATTTTAAAATAACAAAATTTTTAGTCTGTACGAAATTAAGCTTAAATGAAATTTAATTTTATGAATGTATCTTTCTTTAATCCGAAATTAAGTTCGGTAGACTATCATTACAGCTTTAAAATTAGACACTTCTTTTATTGTTTTCACATATGCTTTTCGGGCTTATATAAATGCTAAGCACCTCTTCAGTAAAATATTGAAAATTGTTACACTTATCTAATCATATGTTTTGGTATTATATTTCATATAGTCCTTTTTAACTTCAAAGTGTTTGGCGTATACTCTTCCCTTAAAAAGCACTTAAAATAGTTTATGTCATGCTCCATTTTTTAATTTTACTTCTTATCACCAACTTTATTATTTTTCTTTCAATTTTCCAAATCATATGTTTTGGTATTATATTTCTTATTGTTTTTTTTAACTTTTAAGTGTTTGGCGTATACTCTTCCCTTAAAAAGCACTTAAAATAATTTATGTCATGTTCTAATATTTCTATTTTCTTCATAAGAATGACTAACCTGTTTCTCGATCCATTTGTTTCCAATATTCTTCTAAATATCACTTTTGGTAGCTGTTATTATGATCTATGTATGTATGTCTCTTTAATCTGACATTAACTTCGGTAGACTATCATTACAGCTTTCAGGTTAGACACTTCTTTTATTGTTTCCACATATGCATTTTGGACTTATATTAGGATGGAATTGCAAAACTTAAAAATTTTAAAGAATATTTTTTCAATTTTTTCCAAATAAAGCCTCTTGTGGTGATTTCACTTTGAATAATTTGTTATTACTAACTTTCTGAATTCAGAAAGTTAGTAACAAGACTAGAAATAGAAAATATTTTAATAAAATAACATGCTTAGCATGATATCAGTAAAGTAGTGAAAAGATGGAAATTACATTAGGGACATGCACCAAGAAAGAGCAACATATCTAAACAAAGTAAATAAGAATCAAAAATATACATAGGATAATGTCAAATGAAAATCTTTAAAAATATATTCTAAATAAATTTTATATTGCAAATATAACTGATGTAACAGTATTATATTCACAGGATAACAACACTAAGTAACTTCAGAAGCTTAATTCATAATTAAGGAGAACTATTATATTATATCAGACATAATAAGAGTTGTGAATGGAAATGGAAGGACAACCCAAGGCATGTATTCTATAAGTATTAAGGTAAAGACATGGCAAATTTTCATGCATGGCAGCAACTGTGCATCCTGCCATTAGCAACACAACATCATTGGTTTTGTTTACAGTGGTGAGATGACAGAGAAGCATGGACTAGCAATATATAGCATTTAGCCTGGTTCTGTGTCCTGGTTCTGTTTGGGAAGCCATCGCTTGTGACAGTCAATTACTCCTAGTAATGGTCCAAAATACATTGAAAGTACAATTATATGTTTAGGAAATCCTGCATACCACTGCAGCCTTGTGTGTTGCTTTTCATGGCAATTCTGCAAACAGCCATTTTCCAACAAGATAATGTTCAGTTGCACGCTATTAGGGTTTTCCAGATATGTCTCCAACACACTGCCATACTTCCTTGGACTGATTCCTAGATTTCTCATCCATTGAACATTTGTGAAACCAGATGAAATATCAACTTTGTTCATCTCTCAGCATGATAACACCCATAGATCTGGAGCAGCAATTGCAACATATATGGGAAAAATCTGTTGCAAGATAGTATACAATGCCTATATATATGCATATGTATCCAGGTGAGAGGAATTCCTAAAAGATACTAAAGGTTTCTTTAAATTGTATTGTTGTTCCACAGGAATTTGTCCCTTTGCTATTATTTATAATTCCTTAGCATCATTACATTTGCATTAATAAAGCTTCATTCAATTTCAATGCCTCCTTCTTAGTACAAAACGTTTTTGTCAATGAATATATTCTTGATAGGCTTTCTTAAATTTCAACAAAGCAAGTCCAATCAGATATTCTCTCATAAATTTTACAAATTTACTCTAAATGTACTCAGTTTAAATAAAAAATTTCCATTCTTACAATCACAAATTGCATATAAACCCAGCTTAAAAATTTTACACACAAAAAAAGATATACATAAATATTGAATATGGTTATGAATTTTTGCTAAATTCAGGAAATTAAGTTATTTTATACTTTGCTCATCTGAAAGATATTAGACTTTTGATAATTTATATTATTGTTTCCTGACCGTATTTTATATTTTTTTAAATAAAACCATTCAAGTTCATTTTTATTGTAAATATCTAAATACAATATAATTTTTAAATTAATTAAATTAAATTATCAAACATCATCACTACACCCGATACGTTCAAAGCTATACACCAACCAAAGCCGAATATTATAGCCATTTCTAGCTCTATAATATTCAGCTTTGGTTGGTGTATAAATTAAATTAATTAAATTTTCAAGTAAAATTTATCAATATCTTTACCATCATTGTATTTACATTAAGAAATTGATGTTACTATTTTAGTGTGTATACAGGTATCCCTCATAAAATACAATACTTCTACAATACAGAAGTTTTGGAAATCCTCCATACAAAATTTCACAATTTTTAAGTGTAAACTTCATTATTTGACTGTTTTTATTGAAATAAGTATACATGTTGTCTCAAATTTGTCCATAGATTTTAGAATATTGAAATTTTCAAATTATTTTGTGCTTTTCATCAGGTTTGCTTTAATGAAAACTGATAGGACAAGGAAGAAAATAATTGCACTACTTTCCTATCAATCAGGTGTCCTTGTCATTGCTTTCAGACTTTAGCCCTTAAGACTGTCACTGTGTTTTCTTTTCATAGATTAATCTTTATATTAGTAAAGTTCATTTAACAATTTTAGACAAGTGTTATTAAACCTTTTTTTTAACAGTAGTTATTACATACCTATGAACGATAACTTCATTTGTAAAAATAATGAACGAAATATGGTGGTATCTCAGTACTCAAACAATTTGGTATTCAAACACAAATTCCAGAAAAAAATTTGCTTGGTACTTGACCGAACAAATGTAACCTGCAAGAACAAATTTTTGATTAATAACATATTTTTATTTTGTCATCCATAAAAATCTTTTATGATAAAAATAAAAAATATGAAGCTGTTGCCAATACTTCTGATCAAGATCAACAAATAGCTGAGATGACAACAATACTTTGTAAAAAGAAAATGCCCTGGTTTAACTAAAATTAATATTAATGCATGATACAGTACTTTTAATTGTGATTGTTAATTAATTATTGTTTACTTTAATAAACAAATCTCTTAGTAATCTCTTTGTAATAAAACAGAATAGTATACTTTGGCTAACTTTTGGAACCTAACACCATGTTTTGCATCCTCTGTTTAATATAGCACAGATTTGCATAACAAGATAATTTTTCGGAATGTAACAACCATGTTATATGAGGGGTACAGTACTGTACATGTATATAATATACAGGGGGCAAAAGTAGGTATACAGTTATTATGGAGAAAATAGGGAGAAAAACATTTATTTTTATGTACAAATTAAATCACAAATAAGGAATATGAACTAATAAAAGATAATAAAAATGATACAAATGTTTGGTGTTCATTATTACTTTTCAGATTCTCAACTGTATACCTACTTTTGCACCCCCTATATATATATATATAGACACAACTTAGTTCATTTTTACCATGTTGTGAAACCCCAAAGTGAGAATATCTTCAACCAACTCAATGCCCAGAGTAGGTATAAAGTCTTGAAAAAATTTTCCTGATTACAAGAGCTACAAAAATAAATTGTGTTGATCTTTACTTTAGGAAGCCTTGTGACTTAAAATAGCTAGAGCTTAATATTTTTTATTATTTAAAATTGTGTTTTATAACATTAACAAAAATCCTAATAGGAAATAATCTGAAAAAATAATATGACAGAAAGCAAAAAGTCATCCACATGTTTTAATTACTGTTGAGTTCATGAAGCAAATTGTGAAAAATAGGGACAGAATAGGAAAATACACATTTGTATCCAGGACAAAGCTTCTCATTGCTGGAATAATTTGTTACATCTCCAATGTGGTTTCACTTCCCACGCTTTGTGATATGACTAATGACATAGCATTGTCAGAAATCAAATACTGACAAATTAGCATTTTACACTGTCTATTCATGCTATTCTTATACACAGGATGTTTTTCATTCTATATTAGTCATGCTGTACAATTTTGTAATTAACTATTTTCTATATTGTGCATTTGTATGAGGTAGGAATGCTAACTTCCAAATTTTACCATTAGGAGGTGCTGCAAGCAGTATTGTCTTGTAGTGCATAGTCACTTTATTATAACTTACACATCATGTTTATAACCGTAGCTATCTGCATTCATCAGTTACATGAGTATACAAGGACTTTACTATGCACCCTGTATTTGTCACTAGATTTACTTTTCTTTTAATTATTCACTATTGTGTGTGAAGCCAAAAACATTTTGCATGTGAAGCACCTGAAATTAAAGTTCACAAAAGCAATTCCTTTTACAGAATCAATGGTTAGTCTGTTTCTTTCTTTAGTCCACTATGCTTGTATGAGTGAAAAGTCTTTCAACAAAACATTACAATCTGGTAGGGTAAAAAAGTCATGGTCTATCTTCACAATCTCATTGTATTGTTGTTCACTTTCACAGTATTCAATGTAGTTGCACCATTTCTTGTGGCTTGAAACTAACTTTTCATCATATGTGACAACAAATTTCTTCAATTGGAGAACAGATGAAAACACTTACTGTTATCAATTTATACACTTTTTTCCCGTCAAAAATTTTATTCTTATTTATACATCTTTTCAAAAGATGTATCTAGCCACTCAAATCCAAAAAGTTACTGAAAATTCTCCATCCACAAATTTAAATAATTTCTATTCCCCTGAAATTGTTGCATCTCAGATTTGTAGCTATCACTTTTCATTTGATTTAGTGTGTCTTTCATTTTAAATGATATGAAATTGATATCCTCCTTTCTGGAAGTAGAACTTATAAGGATGAAAGGATTTTCATTACATCAATAAAGGAGTTAAGAATTATCTTCCTTTTCTAATTTGCTAATATGAGTAGAAAATATATGGTGTGATTATAAAAAATCAGACTGCACTTCTGTGCATTGAATGGTTGCATTTGGGCTGGAGCAAAGGAAGGATAAAAGACCTCAAATAAGTCTAAACAAGCACAGCAAGTCTCATCTGCATTTTGCTGTTAGTTTGCTATTAGGAACTGTTTGAAAGGAATGTGTTTTTTCTCTCACATCAGAAAAATGACAAGTTTGAAAGCAGAGCAACATAGCAACCTGAAATATTTGGTGACATTGAAAAAAATGGCCACTGAATCTTTTCACCTGCTATGTGAAGTTTATAGAGATGCATGATTGTCTTGTGCATGTGTTTAAATGGCACAGATGTTCTGCAGGTCAAGAGTGTTCTTTGATATTAAATTAAGGGTAAAATTTTGGAGCACTGAGTTCCAGAGAGTACAACAGTGAATGAACAACAATATTATAAACATGCTCTGGAAACTTTAAGGTAAAGGTTCAGAAGAAAGCAGCCAAACTTGTAGCAAAAAGGGTTTATTCTTTATCAGGACAACATGCCAGTGTATTCAGCATTATCACCAAAACACTTTTTGGTCAAGAAAGGCATCACATTGTCTGAATACCCACTGTATTTATGTAACTTTTATATCTTCCCTAAAGTGAAGGCTTCACTGAAGGAAACCTGTTTTGACTGTATGCTTAAGAAAAAAAAACAATGGGGCTTCTGCATACCCTGACAGAAACTGACTTCCAGCACTGTTATAATCAATGGAAAATCTGAATGCAACAGTGTGTGAATACAGAAAGATTACACATTGATGGAGAACACAAGTAAAATGCAAGTTTTCAAATAATAATTAAGTTGCAGCATCAGTCCCATTATTTTACAGCCATACCTTGTAGATTAATTAGGGACAAAACAAGCCTCATAAACATGAATAATTTCATTTAGCATAATGGATCTTTACAAAACTTTTTCAGTACAGCTAGTGGTTTGTTATGTAAAAGAAAGAATGAGAGTTACAAACATTTGTAGAAGTCTTTGAACAACTGAAAATAAAGAGAGCTACTGTGTTTTGCTGTGATTAAGATTTTTGTATTCTACATCAAAAACTCACTGAACTGTTTTAGAAACTTAACAAGAACAGTGTAAACTGTAAAATAATTATAAATTTTCACTGTCAAAGATTCTAAGTCAATGCCAAGAAGTTATGTGTCATGCTGAATGCAAGTTATTAAAAACATGGCAGGGCATCCCTTCCTACTAATGTTTAGTTAACCATCTTCAAATTTGCAAATAAATTGTCATCATTGCCTCTTATAAGACTATTCAAACATTGTTTTGCATTTATCATCCCCAAAAGCTACACATTAAGTAACCTAACCAAACCAATCAGGTCATTTTCTACAAAGTGCTTAATACAAATGATGAAAAATGATCAAATAATATTCTTTGTTAAAGTTTGGCCAGTCAGAAGGAATTTGTGATGCACAACACCACAACAATTGAAGAAAACAGTCAATATGACCTTGATTTTTGACAGACTCTGACATGATCTTTTTGGTCTTGCTTAATATTTCGAGCACCATTCACTTGATTGTTGAGCTGTTTTGGTGTCAAAAGCTTAGATCCATATATCATCATCTGTAATGATGTTTTAAGATCAATTCACTTTGAGAAAGCATTTCCTTGGCCACTTGAACACATTGTTTTTGGAAAAAAATTCAACATTTTTGGGATGACTTGAGAAGTGATGTATGTCAAGCACAAATAATCTTTTAAAATTGCTTGACAAGATCTAAATGATACTAGAACATGTTCAATAAGGTCTCTAATTGTTAAATGATGATCACTGAGCACCAAATTTCTGACTGAAGTGACATGTTCATCAGTTGAAGTGACTAGTCTTCTAACACGGCATGGTTTATTTTTGATGCACTCTCTGAGCTTCCTCAAACATCTTGTACCACTCAAAAACTTGTTTTTGATAGACTATCATCACCAAAGTCTTTTTGCAACATTTCCAATGTTTTTGTAGCAGTAATTCCATCGCAAAAACAAAATTTAATGCCTGTTCTTTGCTCGATTACACTTGACATTTTGAAAAATTGATGGACACAAAAATTATTTACATACAAAACAAGCATTTATTTGCAAATGAAAACTGATAATAATGTATGGATTGCTGCTAGATGTGATGAAACTGGTACCATATGAAAAAAAAAGACGACAATATCCTCTTGCAAGTTTGCAGTTTAAATGAATCATACTTGATACTTTTTGATCACAGTAGTACACTTTTTCTGAACAGTATGTGTTTATGAATAACTCTTTCCATATTGCTAAAATTGACATTGAATATTGTAGCAATATCTTCTATGTGTCTATGCAATTCATTCATGCTGATTTTGGTCTATAGATTTGTCACACCAATCATAGACATTATCCTTGCCAATGTCTAGGATTAGTGTAACAATCAAAGACAATGTCTATCCTCGTATTGTGTTTGCAATCTGTAAAGTTTTATCAAGTTTATATTCTCCTTCAGAAAAAATTTAATAATACAATATTGTTCAATACTCACTGACATTTCCACAGACACTATACTTCCATACTAAAAATTAATAGAACATTGTATATATTTAACAACATTCTATTAATTTAATTTACATTGAAAGACTTGGCTGGTCACGCTTATTTACTGTTTTATGTGCTATATCATATCATATAAATGAAGATAAAGGTAGAATAGATTGCATTCCTTTAAAAAAAAAAATAGTGTTCTAGTACTTCATGAACATGTCAGGATTTCAATTTTGAAAACATCTATCATTAAATCACCATCTCATTGAATGCATCACCATTAAATCATTACTTTCATGATAATCTTTTTCTCTGATATTAAAAAGCTGATAGCATATTCATATATTAAAATCCATAAGAATACCTGAATGCTGAATATGAGTGAGGAAAGAG